TCGCGAGACTTCAGGTTTACTTCTTTTGTTAGGTCTCCGTTATGATCGCGTTTTGTACCCCTACTAAGAACTTGAGAGACGGAACTATAACTATGACTCACATAAGCGGTATATTAGTGCCTGATGCGGAAATCCTTGCTTGACTTGTTGATCATCTATCATTACAGGCGAAGCAAGCATACCGATAATCAACTCGCTTGAGAGAACAATTCGAGAAGAAAGACCCCAAGTCAGCCTAATAAGTTAAACCCAAGGGTTAATCCCATTTTCTCTTTTTTTCCGGGGCCTAAGTCCTCTTCTCCTTTATCCTTGAACTTTAGGGGAAGTAGCAGTCTTCGAGGATGCATGCAGGTCTTTAGTTATCAATATACCCGTTCTGTTTCTGATATGGTATCAAGGAGAAGCTAACTAAATCAATCCATTATCCGCTAACGGAGACGTAGGATTCTACCTATATCTTCTAGGATGAGGAAGCCAGTCATCTTCTTTATGTTGCGGGGAAATACGTATGATAAAGCAATTAATCTTATTGCCTTTGTACCTTATTCCCTTCCTTACCCGGGTCTTAGCCACTTAACTCCTAGAAGAGTGATAAGGCGAGAACATTACAACAAGTCAGATTCCTTCTATTTTAGCTAAGAGATCAAGAGGATCTTCAAGTCCAGCCTCTTCCAATTCTCTGGGCTTCTATTCCCCTGTCTTTTGCTCAGTATTGACTGAAAAAATCTAACCTAACCCTAAAATTGATAATTCTAATGGTCACTCGATGGAACCCTTAACGATAGGGCTTGTACAGGAAATAAGTGCTTTGTCGGTTGAAGGTGCTCTCTTGCTGCTTCTTTAATGGGTAGCCCTGAGCTAGGGTTCCCTCATACCAAGGATATCACTAGTGAAGCCTTACCTTCAGTTAAATATTATAAAACCCTTCGCCCTATCTTGGATTCGGTGAACTTTCACTCGAGCTTTATCGGGGTACTCGTCTATCGCGCTTAGAATAGAAGATAGGATACTACATCCCTTTGGGGGCTAAGGGCGCAGCATCGGCGGTAAGAGCAGTAGACCCGCCCGCAATGGAAACTGAGCAAATCCCTTTCTCATTATGAACCTACTTTCTTCGCACTCTAAAGGGGAAAGCCGGTTTCAGGCAGCAAGGAGTACGAGAACATTTTTTAGTTATCACCCGATCTCATGTCTTAGCCAAAACAGGATATAAGAGAACGAAGAGAAAGAGACAAAGAGAAGCTAAAGGACGGATTGAACAGCTGCTTTGAAGGAAGGAGTGCTAGCCAGTCCCAAGATAAGGACGGGAGACATAGCAACCTCCATTAAGCTTGAAAGAAAGCTCTGAAAGCCCTGTTTCCAGGTAAGAGCATGGAAGGGGAAGGCAACGAAGTTCAACAGAAGCTAAGGGGCTTATGTCATGGTGCATCTCATGTATTCTTTCTCCCAGTCTGTAGAGATCACAGGGACAAAACTATGAATGGCAAGGCGGGTTTACTCGGGGAGAAGGAAGGGTCCTAGCTACCGAGCTTAGAAGACAAACAATCAGTCACGGTCTGAAGGAAGAAAGGGATTGCCCTATCTTCAAAGGAAACTCCTGAGATAGAAGTAGTACGCGCACATATATATGGGGCGGGGGCAATATCGGTCTTTTTTCATTCTTTCTCATTACTCGTAAGACCACCTCCAATGTGTATATTCCCTTGTTCTGTTTCGGTATTTCCTTTCTTTATTAAAGGGATTTAGGAACTGAAGATCTTAACAAGTAGAAAGAGAGAGAACAATAGTCAAGAAAAATAGTCGTAGCAAGCCGCATTCATAACAGGAAAGGGAAAAGATAACTTATTTCGATCCATTAGGTTCTTCGATTTGTTCAGAAAAGAAACGAGAGACAAGAAAAAATCTTTGATACCTTCATTTATGTGCCAAAATAGAGAGAGATTTAGTAGGAAAGTGGAATAGACTTTTTTGTATATAAAAATTCAAGGGAGTAGGAAAGCTGCAGTAATTCTTTGGAAAAGCCCGTTCTCTTTGTCTTCGAGCTTTCATTCCTCAATCCACTGATTCGTTCCTTCATATACCTCCCCACCAATAGATAGAGACAAATAGGAATAACCAAACCACGTCTACAAAATGCCAGTACCATGCAGCTGCTTCAAAGCCAACGTGATGCTCCTTGGTCAGATGACCAAGATATTGGCGAATACCACAGATAATCAAGAAAAGAGTACCTATAATCACATGAAAACCATGAAAGCCAGTTGCTAAGAAAAAGGTAGAACCATAAATACTATCCGAAATAGTGAAGGGTGCTTGATAATATTCCATTCCTTGAAAGCCAGTGAATACTAGAGCCAATAAAACGGTAGCTACTAAAGCGTAAACTGCTCGTTTTTCCTTCCCCGCCAATATAGCATGATGAGCCCAAGTTACGGCAGCTCCGGATGATAGGGAATAAGGGTATTAAGAAAAGGGATTTCCCAAGGATCTAAAACCTCAATCCCTTTTGGGGCCAAATACCTCCGATCTCTACCGTAGGCGCCAAAGAAGAATGAGAAAAAGCCCAAAAAAAAGCAAAAAAGAACATAACCTCCGATACGATAAAAAGAATAAAACCATATCGAGGTCCTAATTGTACGACTTTGGTATGATGTCCTTCCAACGTGGATTCACGTAGAACATCGCGCCACCATACGAACATGGTATATAGGATAAATATAAGGCCAAAACTGAGAAGTGTTGCACCCCCTTGAAATGAGTGCATGTACATCACACCTCCTACGGTTGTTGCCAAAGCTCCGAGTGAACCCGAAATAGGCCATGGACTTGGATCTACCAAATGATAAGAATGCCTCTGAGATTCAATCATAAACCACTTTACCTCGGTTGTATTGTAAACCCCCCTTCACCCACACCCCCTAAAGTAGTAAAGAGAAGGGCTCTTTGGGGTCTAATTTTCTTTCTATCTTACAGGACAAACAAATAGGAAGGGATGGTTTTTTCATTGCTTTGATAGAAGTCTAACTAGAAAAGGATTTTTCTACTATGACTTTTACTCCTTTTACTTTGAGAAGAGAATCGTTGGTTTGACCGACGAACTACGTGGGAAAATAGACCTTCTTTCTTTGATTTTAAACAAGATTATAGGAAAAAAAGAATCCCAACATTCTCATTCACAAGATTCAAGGCTATTACGAAATTTAAATAGTGCCCCACATTCTTATTATTTCGAGAGTTTTAATCATAATGGGGTCATAATCATACCCGCCTTCTAATAAGAGGGCATGCACATAGGTGAGAGTGGATAGATCTGTCAAATCAGCATTTATTGAACAAATGACAGATTGTGCCAATTTATTAGTCCAGGAGTGGCCCACGCGAAGTGTTTCAATAGCGACACGACAGCAGCTCCAACTGAAGCAATTGAAGCTAGGTCGGCATTCTTTTGAGCAGACATCTTCCTCTAAAAATGAATAATATCTTCCCAAGTCATAATGAGATTAAAAAGCGATGCTTCCTTGGCCATGTGGAACATGGATTAGCATTATGTCATTCCTACAAGCGATCCCCCCAGCCAGGATTGGAAGAAGTGCTATATGAGGACTTCGAAATCAAATAGAATATGTTTCTTTCCATTCCTCGTGAGCCGCTTATTTCTCCGAAACAGGAGATCAAAGTCATCTTCTTCCTTTTCCCCAATAAGTCGACGGCCTTACACCATTGGGATACTTCGAATAAACTGGAGTACATATAGGATACACCGGTGCTAAAACCTTTTTTTTTAATATATCTTCCAAACTTTTTGGGTCCTTGCTCCGGATCTTATTCTCCCGGTGTGAAAGCAGTTGGTTTCGTAGTTTTAGAATTCTGCTGATCCCAAGTACTCCGTCTCGATCATTGCATATGGCAATATAGAAAGTAAAGAGGAAAAGGCATGACCAGAAAAATTGTGTGAAATAGGTGAATTTATCCAATTGAGGCATGATTGATTCGTCTAAAATGATTATTCTCCCTCCTTACCTTAAGTCCGTCAAGCCTGTAAGAGTAGTCAATAAAGATAGAAAGCTTTTCTTGGTTGTTGACCAGGGGGAAAAGAAAGAAAGATGCACACTATCCTCCGTAACTCAACCCAACCTGTCCTCCACAAACATGACGTTTGCCCCGGTAAGCGAGCCACACTACGATCATCGTCGTCGTTCTAAAAGCAGATCATAGTTCTGGACTGCTCTTATAACGCGCCGATACGGCACGCTTGCGCGGGTTCCGTGCTCTCGAATCTGAGTGACGTACGATTCATAGGTACGTGCACTCAAAAGCTCTCCTCGCGGAGCATGGATGAGGCCCCGTAGCTCCCTGGAGCTGTCGGAAATGGACGCGGGCGTAAACCCATCATCCACTAAAGCAGCTTCCACATATCGTTCCACTATGACTTGAGCGTCGATAATGGATACCATACGTCGCAGGTCGAGATCCCCCCCCCAATTGAGAAGCAAGTACCGACGATAAAGGACGTTACTTCTCATTTCATCCGAGAGAAGAGGTTGGGCTAATTCCGCTATAATGGGGCGAGGCACCAGCGGCGCCACGGGTTGAGGAAGAGGCTCCTCCGGCAATGGGATCGGACTAGGGGGGCAGCCGGAAAGAATTCTCCTCCTCGCAAGAAACTACAGGTATCAAAGTTGCAGAAAAGAGGAATGTTCCCGCTAAGGCAATAACGAAAGAGATATAATAGAAAGGACCATAGCAATCCCAATAGTTACGTTTTGTCCATAACGAAATCGATAACGAAAGAAGTAATGAAAGAAGTATAGATCGTGCATCGGGATGTACGTTGCTGATTTTTAGTTCTATCAGCTCCGCAACCATAAAAAAAAAAGAAAAGATACGAGAACAGCCGAAATGGAAAAATGTGGCAATCATGATTTTTTTGCCTCGAAATCACGCTTTTTTGATTTCACAATTTTCTTATAGCCCTCTCTTTAAATATTTAAATTGAAGTGGGTTTCGCTTTTCCTCCATCCTTTGATCTTGGACATCTCACTTGGAATGATCTTCTATCTACGATACTGAACACAATAAAATTTCGACTTTTCCCTTTTCTTATGATATTTCTCGTTCCCGTCGAAAAGAGAACAAGCCCCTTCTATTATATTCTATTATTATTTTGTCACAAGAAGCAGGATGCTCTTTCTTGCTGGGTATGAATCCCATCTCTCGACGACGTTGGTCCTTCCTTCCCGCCCTAAGAGCTGATTCGAGGGCATCAATTAATGTGCTTGTCTTCTTTTACTATTATACCTATATACCTACCCATTTATGTCGAATTGTGCACAACCGATTCTGTAACAAGAAGAGCGGATACGTCGTTCTTTCAAAGAGCGCTTATTCTCCTTCATGTGCAACCTATTCCCCCTAATCAGGCCAGGAAAGGTAGGAATGCAATGCTGCACAATCTAAGGACCCATTCCCGGCATATCATCATAAGACTAAGGGACAACATCGATGAACTCATTAAGCAGGGCCACTCACTCAGCCTTCTCATCGTTAGAAAGACTAGAACCCAGTTTGACTTCCTTTCACTGTACCCAAATTCACTGAAACAGTCTCTTCCATAGCTGGTTGAGCTCTAGATGTCTAGACTCGCTTCATAGATTACATAGATTACGCTCGTTCGGTTTTGGGATTTCACCTTCATCTGGCCTGGCCTCTCTCTCGCAAGAACTTTTTCTCACATCACATTGGAATGGAATGCAAAGCATTCTTTTCGGTCTTGTACTACGGTACACTGAACACCTACCCAATAAGGACAAAAAAGAAAGTGAAAGCAAGTAGATCTCCCACTTACCTCTGAAAAGCCCTGAGCCGAGCTAATGGAAAGTGCCTATGAATTTGAAAAAAGAAAGAAATGGGAGTTTTGGCTTGCAATAAAGCTAGGGCCCTGCTCGAGCAAGACGTAGTCCTATCTATCCACCTCCCCAAACACAATATCTTGAGTACCTATGATGGTGACCACATCTGCTGGCATGTGATGTTTGGACATAGAATCGAGTCCTTGTAAATGGGCAAAGCCAGGTGCTCTTATTTTACAACGGTAGGGACGATTGCTTCCATTACTGACCAGAAAGACACCAAATTCTCCTTTAGGTGCTTCAACTGCGGTATAGGTAGAAGAAGCTGGTACGGAAAAACCTTCTGTATAAAGTTCGAAATGGTGAATTGAGGTAGAGTAGACCGATGATCCTGTAGTCATTTGACCGGCTATTGAAAGAAAAAGCTTGCCTTGCATCTGCTTCCCCTATAATATAACCGGTCCCATCTCTCTCCAAACCTAACGTGGTAGTTTCCCATCATAGGGCTTTCTATCTATAGATTAAGCCATTACCAAGGAGCTAATTCGTTCAGAACTCAGTTGACTGCTTCTATAGATAAGGCGGAGTGCCCTTGGCTTAGCATTATAGCAGCACATAGAGCTTCGGCGCTACTACAGCGCTTCGATAACTCGAAGCGCCTCGTTATGAGAATCTAGCTTCGCTAACGCTCGGCTAAGTCTTGAACCTTCGCGCTGACCATTCGCTTTCTTAGTAGCAAAAGCGCTTCTCTTTGCCTCTTAAGTATAAGGCCATAAAAGATAATATTCCTTTTCTTGCTTCCGCTTCCTCCTTATCTGCGCGCATCAAGCCATTTTTCGCCCAAGCTTACTAAATAGTAATAGGGGTAATTTATTCGCACCTGACTGTGATAGCCCTCTCCCTTATTGGAGCTTTGTAACTAATGGACGGTTTCCCGTCGCTAGAGCGTTTTCCCAGTGCGCGGGACCCGAACGAGGAAGGTGTTAGTGGTTTATCATTGGGTCAATAAGACTAATCCCTATTTTTTTTGTTGCGCTATTCCTACTCCTAGGGCGGGAAGCAGATAAGAAAACGCGAAGCGTTCTCTTGGTTTCCCAACCTGTTCTTTCTAAAGACTGTCCTCTCTCGGCTGGATGTTGGTCCGGCCTACTACGAGGATCCCGTATCCAGCAACCCAACCTATACAAAGGGCATCAAGCCCCCCTTTACTAGGTTGGAGCTATGAAGCTTACTTTATTATTAAAAAGGGAAAAGGCTTTTTCATTTTCAGCTGGTGCGCACTTCCGTTTTCCCTTTACTATTAGGGGTCCCGTGGTTCCTATGCCGCCGTGTTTCCTGGTCCTTTTCTTTTAGTGCTTCGACCCAAAGCGATAGCTTCTAGCTAGTTCAGTGGATAAGAGGGCTGCGCTCCAGCTCACTCAAGAATGGGACGGCAGTGGTCCGCCGGCAAGCTCGTTCGATCTTGGACGTAGATTGGAATCCTGAAGCACTGCCACGAACGCTACCGCCCGTCCGCTGCGGTGCGGTAAGACACCATCTGCTGTGCCAGCAGCCAACTCCGGCGTGTCAGCTTAGTTATCCTCATCAAGCCACTTACTTGATGTCTAGCTTCCTAACTGGTAGACGCCTCCTTTCCCCAGATGAATGAAGAAGGAAGTGGATTCCTCCGAAGAGCCGGAAGCGAAAGCGCTATGCCGGGGCGGGGGACGGGAAAAGAAAGGGCTCGAAGAAAGAAATTGGGGTTCCCAACGCTTCTCCACGCTCAACGAAATGCGCCAACCTCGGAATGCTTTACTCCTAACCCCCACAAGGTTCCGAGACGGAGCTTAACCTGAGTCTCGGTTAAGAACGGCGATGATCTACGTTTCACACGGCGCACGATTCCATGGATAGTTTCATTCGACTTCGTGATGGAGGACATAGCTTACGATCATCGGCTTTGATTATGCCACTAGGCATTTGATTAAGACATTGCACAATGATCCGAACACTTTGTCGCATCTCTTCGATACGAATACAGTAACGATCATAGCAATCTCCTCTGGTACCTACTGGTACGTCAGGATCCGATTGGTCATAAACATCGTAAGGTGCTGCTCTTCGCAAATCCCAACATACACCTGGACCTCTTAACATTACACCACTGAATCCCCAATCCTTTGCTTGCTGTGCAGTGACAGTACCAATATCCACTAATCGTTGTTTCCAGATACGGTTGCCGGTTAACATCTCTTCTAATTCGTCGATACGAGAAGCAAATTGTTGTGTGAAGAAATCAATATCTCGACATAAGCCCAGAGGCAGATCTTGTGCCACTCCACCTGGTCGTATGAAACTGGCATGCATTCTGGCTCCCGAGACTCTTTCATAGAATTCCAACAATTTCTCTCGCTCCTCAAAAGCCCACAGGAACGGAGTTGATGCTCCCACATCCATAGCATGAGTAGTTAAAGCAAGTGAATGGTTTGAAATTCGAGTTATTTCACGGAATAACACTCGTATATATTGAGCTCGTAATGGTACCTCACAATTCAAAAGTCTCTCTACGGCTGAAGAATAAGCGTGTTCTTGGGCCATCATAGAAACATAGATAGGGTCAACGACGGAACGAACAACGAAACTTTACGACAGCTTTTTCGTACACGTTCACTTGCATCACATACACAAGTGCTCTCTGAACCGTGCAATAAGGTTACCCATAACACGGCTCCCCCACTTGAGTTATCTTAGCCCCAGGCCATGCTATTCAATAAGATTGGAAAAATGGCACCGTAAGGTAACAACTAGTATTGAAAGCTGGTCGCCTTATCTAATAGCTTCATTCGCCGGTAACCAAAGCGTATCGTTCCCGCAACAACCACTTGGGTACTACTTTGTTTATAGCTTTTTTAGGTTATGCAATAGAGGGGGGCTTGGTTCTCTATTTCCGGCCCTAGGGGGGTTTACTCGACCTATTCTCCAGTCTCCCGCATTGCTCAAGTAAGTGTGCGACTCCATATGAGGACCTCCTTCTCTTCTGCCCACTCTCCGTTCACACGGTTTTCAAAACACCGGAGGAAGGGTGGGCAGCAGGTACCATGAGCCCTCTGTCCCACACATCTATCCGAAGCAAGTGTAGTTCACCGGTTCCACCGAATGCTCCTATCTCTCGGCAAAGATCGTGTGAGTGTGCAGTTATGCTTCGGATGCTTCGCCATAGAATAGATGGACATAGTTCCCGTTCTTTTCCGGCGCACTCGCTTTATATCTCCGATACACAAGGAAGGACGCGCTGGAAGGAAGCAGCCCTAGCCTTTGTCCGGCCGATCATTCCGCTGGCATCTCGCATTCACGCCCCGTTTGACTGCCGCTCGGGGATGTAGTTGTAGATAGGTTAGTCTTAGTGGGTCGTTGGCTCCACCTGTTATCTCCTTCTATGACATGCTGTTGTCGTCGCCATATTCCATATGTCACTTAGTCATCTCTGCCTCGCTGCGGGTCAGCACCTCCGAAAGAAACGGAGGACTTCATTCAGTGACCCCGCGATCGCCCTCTGAACGATCAGAATAAGGTAAAGCTTGAAGATAAGTTTTGTACTCTATTAATTTCTCAGTCCCTCTAGTCGGGTGGGCGCCGGCCGGTCTTTCGACCAGATCCCCTAAAACCGTACGTGCGGGTCTCCCGCATGCGGCTCACGCCATTCGAGGCGGCCCAGCATTCATTCGCAAATCCTGTAGTGAAATTGAGACTGCTCAACCTCGGAAGCGGATTCGCGTGTAGGCAGCGCTGTCTGTCGTACCGTTGACTCTATCTATTCATTGAATTTTCTTTTTTTTTCGCTCCCAAGAATTCATGCACTTCCCTTTACTCCAGAGGGCCTTATCTAATAGCTTCGTTCGTTCCTTACATTTCCGTCAAATGACCTGGCCTTCCCGACTCTTCCACCGTCCGGGCTCCCTTTCCTCCCTATGTGCTATGCTCCCCGGCGCAGCCTACCGCGCTCGCGCCTGCGGCGTTTTCGCCAGACGGTCTTTGCCAGTAGTGCCATCCTCCCCGCTGGCTGTATGGGCGGGTTGTCCCTCGCTGCTGCGTTCTGTTAGGCTATGGATTACAGGAACAAATGTAGTTGAATGGAAGAGCAGGCGGGTTACACGTTCCACTGTGCCGAGATGTAAGGTGCAGGTGGTGATTATCACCCGGGGTATGCGCTAGCGCCCTTGACAGCACTCCAGAACCCGCCAACGCTCGTGAAAACCCAGGTCGGTCGGTCCTCCATTCATCCGACCTCCGGTGTGGATAACGAGGCCACCTTCACAACCCTCTCCCTTCTGTCCCTATGTTGTAATAAGGTAGGGCGGTTCCCTTGAGTTGCTCAACCGCCCCTTAGTCCGGTGCTCATGATGCGTTATGGAACCTCTATCGTATCGAGGACCAAGCAGGCATAGCTAGCGGCATAGAAGCCGACTCGGCATCAGCGGCTTCGTGCCGCACTGGAGTAATCCAATATGTGGTTCCGCACGTTCTACCACTTCTCCGTTCATTTCCAATACGATCGTGAAACACCATGAGCAGCAGGATGTTGAGGTCCGAAATTCGAAGTGAAATTTTTATTTGCCTGTTCCTAGTCGTCATGGGAAAGAAAGGCGTAAAGAAGAAATATATTATTCCCCGAGAGCTTGTCAACCAGTACCAGAAATGCATCTCCTTCGCCCGCGAGAGACTTCTATGCCAGCCGGGAATAACGACTCTGTTATGAAAGAAAGCGGCAGACAGACTAATTTGGACGGTATTCCCCAATGAGTAGCTTTAGGAGATTAAGGTCCCCCTTATATTCTCCATCCATCTGCGGAGACGGATACGTAAACCCTTCGCAGCAAAGATGGTATGGTCGCGCTCTTACTTGGAAGTGGTCTCAGTAGCGAAGTCAATAAAGAGGGTAGTCCTCATAGCTAGGAAGTTTAAGATTATTATTACGAGTTACTACGTATCATTAAGAACTAGAATACTAGAGCAAGCCCCCTTCCTTAATCAAAAGTCAAATCACCAAGGAATTGGGCACCGGTCAGGTCTAGAACAAGGGACAATGGGTTCCTTACTCTGTTGATGAATCCGTTCTAGACTTACCAACCATATTCTATTCATATTCTTCGGCTTTGGCTTCAGGGTATGCTCAACAGACGAATCCGCGAATGAAGATGTACCAGTTCTTTTTTTAGAAACTATATGCCAATAGCCTCACTTCGCGCAGCTTCGTTCGTTGGTCTCTCACTCTCTTGCTTGGGGTCCGGTAAATCCGTTTACCAAATCAATATCTCCACTACGGTACACTAATCCATTTGATGTAACATCTATTCTCCTTCGAGCTGTCAAATCAGTACGGAGCGCGGCTGCGGCGAAAGAATCATTTTATTCTTGTATGTAATTATTCCCAAACCACGCTCATTCCTTACAAAAAGTGGGAGTGGCATCGGTGTCCCGTTCATGCCCTGGAATAACTTTGAGAAATTTCACATTTATGGGCCGAGTTTACACGAGATTATGATCATACGGTATTTTAGGTAAATGAAAACCCCTATATCAAATATAGTAGTTCTATAACTATAGCATAAGTGGAAGATGGTAGCCAGCAAAAAGTAGGTGGGGAGGAAAATTGATGCGTAAGCGCGTGCGGGAGGTGAGGATTTCTGGTGAATGATGATTTGGAATAGTCAACTGGAGTAGTAGGCATCACAAGGTCGGCGGTTGAATTAGGCCCTTTCCTTTGGTTCATGAGTCTGTCTTTGGGGGTGTGCATGAGTTCGCTATGACCTTCTTTGATAGTCGCGGTTTGATGGTTGAATGTGACCACGAATGGATATAGTTGAATCAACTGTGATTCCTCTTCTTTCTCTTTTTATTTCACGAATCCGAATCGATTGAAGAAGGAATTTACTTATCTAAAGGAAGAGAATCATCAACTATTTCACCGGGATGAGCTCTATGGCTATTCTATTAAGTAAGGATCCACTTAGGCTTAAGCTAGAGCTGCTCCTTCTATCACATCGGATTCTAGTAAAGAGATGGGCCTTCTCGTCGATCTCTGCATCAACAGGAATGCGGGAAAAGCTTCTTCTCCCCCAGTCCCTAGCAGCCTTAAGCCCGTAAGCTACTTCCTTTAGTGGAACTGGTTGCTATATAGGTCAATAGAATCTTAGCCAGTTTCTTTTGACTCCTTTTGTTCTCATTCCCGGCCAACCGTGCCATGAAGAGTCGAGCAAGAGCAATCGCAGCTTTCTCTCTGCCTTTGCAGCTTTCATTCTGGCATTTTTCCTTATAAAAGCTTCAATCTACAAAAGTAGAACTACGGATGGCAGGCCTGGCCTCAAACCGACTTGCTTTCAGACTTACTGGCTGAAGAGCAAAGAGATATCTATTTTACAGTAAATTCCTCTTAGAATAGCATCCCGCTCTTCCTCATCGAAAACCAACCAACCCTACTTAATTTGTTCTAGAAATGCTAACCAAGTGGCACACTGGGGCCATGGGTCATGAAAAAGGTTGACCGGACCCCCGCATCACCAGACTCCTCGTGGAGGAGGTCATAGATAACAAAATGGTTGAATCAGCGGTAGGGGCATCATCAGATTCGGCCCAACCCCGGGCAAGCCGCAAAGAAGGAGGGGCTCAAAATCAACCAGCCGACACGCCCCGGTCGCGGGTCCATCGCAAGCCGAAGGGACCCCACTCATGCCCCAGTAGGGGTGCCCCCATCATTATCCCCTTATGGGCAAGTAACCCAGTTCCCCATCTCGGAGGACATAGCTGCCGCACTTGATAAGTACTTCCAACGTGTAACTAAAATTGGTGTGCGGTCAGATTTTCTCATTAGTGTGCGGGCGCCCTCCAGCTCCGCGAAGCAAACGCGGAGAAACGTACAAAAATTTTGTCTTTTTACTAAAGATCAAAGAGTACACTTGTACTCCGGCTAATCAAAGGAAGGTTTTTTTAAATCCAAGATTGACTCGATTAGATCCTTAGCGCAAGCGCTAAGTAAGCAAGCTACCTTATGTAAAAACCGAGGAAAATAACGTAAAGTAGAAAGGAACAAGGTCTTACGGCACGATCACTATATCTTTTCTTTTTTATCCGACCAGAGAGATTTTTATAAAGATTCTCCATTCAAAACAAAAATGAAAAAGTCTAAATAAAACAAAGGCGCATACGCGGGAGGGAAGGGGCCCCAATACTTCTTCATTCGGGGAGACTAGCCTCATTACTTCCCATCGGGCGATCGGTGCACCTAACCCACCTACCCACTCATCAATCACGGTGTTCGGCTGACTTGCAAGGATAGACCCCTATTGTATTGGAATTAGGCGCCCATCTTTTACTGTTGTCAATTAATCTCTTCAATGTTTGATCCTACTCTATGTTAGAACATTTCGTGAATGCTATTCTGATCTAAGTGGTCTTATTCTGTGTCCCGTGCTAGGAAGCATTACTCCTCTTTTCATTCCAAATTCAAGAATACGACCGATACGATTGATTGGTCTGTGCGTCTCTCTTATTACTTTTTTGTATCCCCCTGTTCTTCGGATACAATTCGACCCTTCTACGGCCAAATCTCAATTTGTGGAAAGCCTTCGATGGCTTCCTTATGAAAACATAAATTTTTATTTGGGTATAGACGGTATCTCTTTATTCTTCGTGATATTGACCACATTTCGATCCCTATTTGCATTTTAGTGGGTTGGTCTGATATGAGAAGTTATGGGAAAGAGTATATTACAGCATCTCTAATTCGTGAATTTCTAATGATTGCCGTGTTCTGCATGCTGGATCTTCTACTATTCTATGTTCTTTCCGAAAGTGTGCTAATCCCTATGTTGTGCGGAGCTGAGCATCTTCTATTCGCTGGGATAAAGCTTTTCCTCTGCAGGGGCCTTGTGCAGTAAACCTCCTGTGGGCGGTCGTCCGTCGTCGTAAAGTAGTCCCCGCGAAGCTTTCGGGAAGAGGGTAGTCTTGTGTGTAAGCATAGCATTTCTGGTCGAACCCGCCCAACCCAACTAATAAGAACCGAACTGACAGATACATCTTTTTTCTTTTGGGAGGGTACTCCGAGTAGTGGGTATCTTGTAGGACCTCGACTCGCCTACTAAGATCTTGTATGGATATGCAGGAAGGGGTGCTCCTAGGTGTGTGTAGGGGTTGTGTTTGTTCGCGAGAATGGATTCCTCGTCAAGTCAGTTTGGGGGGTGTGGACACACTTGCGCGAATTTGGGTAACGGCTACAAGGGAAAAATCGAAAGGAAACTGTACCCGACTAGGGATGGACGTAAACTCGTAAGCTACCGAGGGTAGGGATAATCGTCCAGGTCTTATTGTGAAAGAAAAAAAGCCGCCCCGCCACAGCAGGCGGGTTGCCTCCTTTGTCGTCGCCGGGAGCTCTTGGTGAGGAGACCTTATGAAAAGTTGCTAAAATAAAGAGAGGGAGGATCAACCCGTTTAGTATAATTCCGAAGAAAGACTGACTGTTGTTGGCAGCAGGTAGAGACATTTTTTTGGTCCCTTCAAAAGGAAATGCGGGCAGGGTAGAGCTCGACAGAGGGTTCGAGAATAGGGTAGGGTCCTGCCTTAAAAGATTCAGATAAGAAAAGAGTTACAAACTTTCACCACAAGTTCCGGCCAGGATGATTGAGAAGATCAAACTAATTTGAACCGCTCACATCACGGTAGTAGTGTAAAGGCCGTAAGTCGGGGCGGCTATAACATAAGGCTATTACTTTCACACCTCTCTCTATCTATAGATAGAGATCCGCTGCGTGAGCAACCCGACCGTGCCTTACATGTGCTTTATAGGCCGCACTCCATCTTTTTTCCCAACGAGCCTCTTTTTCTTTTGATTTGGAAGACGGGCATCTTCCGCAACGCAAGCACCATTGTTCGCCGCCACCCGAAAAGCAAAAGATTCGAGAGTCCAGCCTTAAAATACAAGCATAGATAGTGGTTTAATGCCAAGGCCGACGACGGAAGCTCGGGACGGAGCCGTATGAGACGGAAGTCTCACGTGCGGTTCTCTCGAGAAGGAGTGGCTACCTCTGGAGCTTCGACCAACCACCGCCGGTCAATTCCGCTTTGGAGCCACCCCTTACTCTACCATTATTATAGGAGTTTGGGGTTCAAGACAAAGAAAGATCAAGGCAGCATATCAGTTTTCCTTTATACTTTACTTGGATCTGTTTTTATGCTATTAGCTATTCTGTTGATTCTTCTCCAAACAGGAACAACCGATTTACAAATTTCATTAACCACAGAATTTAGTGAGCGGCGCCAAATCTTTCTATGGATTGCTTTTTCGCCTCTTTTGCCGTCAAAGTGCCTATGGTACCAGTTCATATTTGGTTACCCGAAGCTCATGTGGAGGCACCTACGGCGAGATCCGTCATCTTGGCAGAATTCTTTTAAAATTGGGAACCTACGGGTTTTGTAGATTTTCAATACCCATGTTTCCCGGCGACACTTTGTTCCACTCCTTTCATTTATACTTCAAGCGCAATTGCTATAATATATACTTCCTTGACCACTTTAAGACAGATCGATCTTAAGAAGATCATTGCTTACTCTTCAGTAGCTCATATGAATTTGGTGACTATTGGTATGTTTAGTCGGGCGGCGGCCGTTAGGTCACCTATTTTGAGTTATAGTTATGGACACACAAGGCCAAAACATGTGTGCCGGGCGTGCGACCCATCAACCTACTAGCAATGGGGAAGAAAACATAGCATGTCGCAAAAAGTTTGATTCGAGGCGTCAGCAAAACACTGCCGTCTGTTCCAAAACTAAAAAAGCCCCTTAGCACCCCGGGCGGGAGTGGGGGACGGCCCTACGCGCAGGCAAGAGCAGCACCGGCTCTACGAAGTCGAATCTAATCTTTCGTTGGCTTTTTCCCAATTCATTTGTGAATAAGAATTGAAGGGCGTAAAGCGAGTGCTTCTAGCTGCTTCGCCTGCTTCTTATTATGGCGGCTATGTTTTCGTGGCGGAAATGAACGAAAAGCGATATGAACGTGCTATTTTCAAATCGATTGATAGATAGCCTGATCTGTTCGATAGATCGATAGAGATAGAGAAGGGAATCTATCAAGAATAAGGGAAATCTCCTATTTCTATCTATTGATGAGACAACTATCTATTCTTGATCCATCAGATACATATCGATTTCTTTCTAATGGAGTCTACATCGTACGTAGAGCGCCCGAGCGCTTTTTAGGCCAGCTCAGTTCTCTTATCCTTATCCATTGGTCCAATGCACTGGGCTCATCTCATGGAGGAAAAGCCGTTTGTCTTGTTTGCCGCCCGACCCTTCTCTCCCGGTATCGTCCCACACGAAAGAAAGAGCGCGGAGCCCCGGCCCGACCTGCAGGTCCGCTAACGTAAAGCGAGGAGTTGAGCCTGAACTGGCAAAACGAAGTCACTTTCGGAACCATACTTCCTACAGCTAACATGTGTCCAGTCCCGCGGAACGCGCAGCGCAAAGGAACGTGAGTGTTAGACCGAATCCCCGCCGGCCATCGGGGACCGAGTGGTAAGGC